AAAGCCCTGAAACAATCACTAACACAGGATCTTCCACTATAACACAACATTCTCTGTGTTGTTTGCTTCTGCTTGTTTGTTGTTATCTACATATAATTAAACCCTCCATCAGTCAACGTGCCGATACTGTCATGGAGAACTGTGGAATAACTTAACCTTTATGCATGAAAGATGGGAAGGAAGACGAGTGAGCAAACAGAGCACAGAATAACAACATGTTGCAAAGGTTTACTCATTTTGGATTATCAAATTCAATTTAATGTTATTTACACAGCGCCAAATCACAACAACAGTCGCCTCAAGGTGCTTTATATTGTACAGTAGACCCTACAATAATACAGAGAAACCCCAACAATCATATGACCCCCTATGAGCAGCACTTTGGCGACAGCGGGAAGGAAAAACTCCCTTTTAACAGGAAGAAACCTCCGAGAGAAGGAAGACGGGATAAAAGACATACTGTGGAAAAGTAATTACCAATTTTGTTTAAGAATATACATTTTATGCATTATAGCTCAACATAATGTGTAAAAGTGTTCAGGTTTGTGCTGTGTTTATGCTAACGTTTCATTTAAATCAGCTCTGTGAATAATATCAGAGGCAGGACAACAACCATTCGTCAGTTGGCAGATCTGGAGCTGAACTGACAAAATGCAAACCATTCAAATTATTGATTTTATTATAACTTGGTTATAATGTTATTTGCATTCCCCTGCACTCTTTCTGTAAGGTTTTGATTCTTGATTTAGCTACTACGCAACTCTGCAGCACAACAGTTCGTCTAATTTTACAGCCAGCCTCTAGCCTGGAGGAGGATGTTGCACGAGCAGCTAATCCCACAAACTTCTTTTTCATTTTTTCCCCAAACTTGCAGTCTGCAGAATCAAACTAGTTCAAATAAGGAAACTTATCAGTTCTACTCACTTTGAAGCCACAACTTATTTCACATGTAGTTCTACCCATGACTTGTAAACATGCAGTTTTTGGTGATGATGAAAATGGTGTTTTGAAGTTCTGCTTTTTTTGCTTTTCCAGTGAGTTTGGTTTTGCTTTTTACGTTCAAAAGGGAAAGAAAAAGTAAATCCTTTGGAAACGAGACGCTTCTGTTACATTTTATGTTTTTAATGTGGGATTCAAGCATTCACAATGTTGAAGGAGTCCACACAGTGAATAGAGATGTTTGGTGACAGATCAAACAAAGCTTGAATGTTCTGAATGATGAATTCCAACATTTATCAAGTTATCTTTGAAGGACAGTGTTTGCCCACCACATGAACAACAGTAGACGATGAGCGAAACACACAGCAAAATATCTTTATACTTATTTATTCTTTTCTATTTAAAATGCATCTCAAAAAATTATTTATATCATGTCCATTGCATGTAAAGTGAAATGATTCAAGCCTTTTGTCATTTTAATCTGACTTACAGCTTGTGAAAAAACATCAGAAATCAGTACCTGCGATCATTTAACATTTAATTTCAAGTTTGAGAAAATTAAAATCAAATATTATGTTGATCCTGCTTATCTCAGTTTAGTTTGATGCAGTGACAGTGAC